TACCACAAGACTCATGGGTGGCTCGTACACAACAGAAATGTGTCATGTCACAGTTCTGGAAGTTGGAAGTCCCAGATCAGGGTGTCAGTGTGGTGGGCTGAGGGGCCTCTTCTGGGTCACAGACTTCTCATGTGTCCTCACACGGCAGAAGGCAGAGGGAGCTCTGCGGGGTCTCCTTGGTAGGACACCAATCCTATGCAGGAGGGCTCCACCCATGAAATTCATATGTTGCAGCCCTGACCCCCCAGTGTGAGTACATTTGGAGATAGAGCTTTTCGGAGGTCATTAAGCTTAAATGAAGCCATAAGGGTGGGAGTCCTCATGAGATCGGATTGGTGGCCTTATAAGAAAGAATAGGAAGGGAGAGAGATCTCTCTCCACATGAGGACAGTGAGAAGCCAGCTGTCTGCAAGCCGGAAAGACAGCTCTTACCAAGGATCAAATCTGCACCTTGATCTTGGACCTATCCTGGACTTCCTGCTTCCGGAACGTGAGAACATAAATCTCTGCCGTGTAAGCCCCTTTGGTCTGTGGTCAGACAGCTGAATCTGGCTCTCTCCTTGGTCTGAGAATCTCCTGAGGGCAGAGAGCACCCTGCAGTCTCCATGCCATCTTCTTTCCCGACACTCCACGCACGCGGGGCCATCATCAGCGCGGATGGCCGCCTTTTCCTGGACAGAAGCCAGCTCCTATTGGATCCCCTGCTCTGTGGCCGCTGTGATGATGAACAGTTTTTCTGAGCAGGTTACCCTCTGGTAGGTTCATGAGATACGATATGGGCCACCCGGTTAAATTAGGATTTCTGGTAAACGACAAATATGAAGTATATGTTGAGCCTGAGTACGTCCCAAATACTGCCCAGGACACACTGACAGAACAACACTCTCTGTCGTTTATCTGAAATTCAAATTTAAACGGGGCATCCTGTTTGCATTTTTGCCTAAGCCTAGAAGTTCCACCCTCTGGTCTTTTTATAGAAGGCCTGGAGATCATAGCTCTTGACCTGCAGCAGTGGTTCTCAGAGAGGGGTCCCAGGACCAGAGCATCAGCAAATCCTAGTTCAGAACAGAAAATCTCCATCTCCACCCCGACTTCCAGAGCCAGAACCTCTGCGAGGGCCTGCGTTCTGTGTTTTTGACATTCCTCCTGGGAATTCTGATGGGAGCTATAGTTTGAGGGCCATTGACCCCCGAGAAGGATGCTAATAGTAGGAGGTTCCCGCCCCCCCTCCCCCTTCCCCTCCCCCCAGCCAATCTTCCCCTCCCTCCCCCCAACATATCCTGCTCTGCTGCTCACTCGGGGCCTCGGACTCAGCTGCTAAGGGTAGTGACATAAATGATGTCAGGGACGTTACAGGTGCTCTTTCCGGGATTTCTGTGGCTTCATAGGAGACTGTGGAGTCAGGCATGCAGAATGTTCTCCGCTTGGCCTCCGGGCTCTGTTCTACCCGCCCCATCCGTTTCCGAGCCTGCAGCGGGCTGTGAACCAGAGAATTTATTCTTCAGGGCGGGATCTGCCAGTCGCAGCCGGCGGGGAGGGGCCTGGTGGCTGGAGGGACACGTGTGCCGGGAGGGAAGCAGGAAGTGACTCCGGGAGTGGAGCCGGCCGAGCCAGCGGCAGCGGGGCTGATGGAAGTGGAGTGGGGGCTTGAGAGGGCACCGTAGTGAGTCAGCTTTTTCTCCCTTCAGCGCCTTGGTTGGGCTGGAGGCCCGGGGTCTGGGGCCAGCAGGAGAGCGTGGGACTTGGAAGGGCGAAATGGAGTTTGGAAGGGGGCGCCCCCGGGGGTAGAGGAGGGGCTCGGAGGAGAAGCCGGGCGGCTTGGCAGGTGGCCGCGGAGGGCAAGGCCGCCCGGAGCCCCCTCTGCCTCTGGCCAGGGTCAGATGGAGGGTGTTGACCTGCCTTCCTTTGACAGGGGCTCACCAAATCCTCTGTTCAGTGCGTCCCCGATGACATGTGGGGGCCCCCGGGAGCAGAGGTGGCTACAATTCCAGCCCCTCTGCATCCCCTCCCGCTCATTCTGGGGGTCAGCATGGCCTCTCGAACTTGACTGGAAATCTGGCGACCGTGCAGCAGGCCTGAGCTTGTGCATTGCTAACCCCTCCCTGGGTCCGCGGTTCGCGGACCGCACTTTGAGCAGCGAGGTATTAGAGAACTTTTCCTACAGTCCCATCCGCCCAAACCCGAGTCGCGTTGCTGGATTCTCCTCCTGGAGTCGGGCTGTGTATGTGTGCAGTTTTATTAGGTGGTGTTCCCACCTCTGCAACATCACCAACATCTTGAGGCTCTTGGAAGCAGGGCAACAGGTTTGCGAGGGAGAGAAAAAGCAAGAAATCCTCTGTCAGGGTCCCCTCCTCTGCGGCCTTAGCAGAATGTGGACACAGGTTGGGTGGTGTTGGCATCTTTAAAGTTGGGGAGGGCAGGGAATAATCCTTCCTCTTGCAAATTAATCAAGGTTTATGTGTTAACATCCGGCTCACAAGGAAGTCTGAGCCCCATCGTGGAAGCTGATTTTGAGGGGCTATGACTGGCGCTCCTGTCTTCCAGGTGCTAGTGGTCGACCTCTTGGAGAAAACATTTCCTTCTCTTGAGATTCTGCGTCAGCCTGGCCAGTCCTTCCCTCTTAGGGCAGGAGAACTCACTTTCAAAGCTCTGGGTCTCTGTCGTAGACTAGTGCTTTGCACTGCAACACGTGTGAGAATCCCTCACGGAACTTGAAAAAAATGCAGATTCTGATTCAGCCTGAGAGCCTGCATTTCCCAAGGTGGGACCAGCTCAGATCACCCTTCCAGGAGTGAGGATTTAAAATAGCAAATGGAAGAAACTTCTCCGGGGGGCACTGGGCTGGCATTATCATTGGTAAATACTGTGACTCTTGGGATGGAAAGGATGTGCATGGCCTCGCTGTCCCTTTTCCTTATGTCTCGGGTGCTCAGGTAAATGGAGACAGGCTAGGATAGTGCTTTCCCTCCCACTAGCCCCCAGGAACACCCAGAGCTCTCTTGTTGGCTGGCCCATAAACCCCACGTTGACTTTGGCCTGTTGGCAAATGGAAATGGCTTCCTCTTTTCTGTTTTCTTAGCTGTTGAAAGGCACATTCAATACTGGAAAAAAAAAAAAAAAGGTTGTTTTTCTTTTTTGACCTGTCTTGGATGATAAGTACTAAGAGGTTGATAGCCATAGGCCTTTCTTTGTAAATGCTGTTTCAGATTTTATCCACAAGCAGCTAGAAATAGAAGGGTGGTGTCATGATCCAGATGTCTTGGTTTACCAACAAACACGAACCACTCATTTTAGGGTGACACTTAACAAGATGAAGTATGCAGATAGGCGGGTTTTTAAAAAATATATATATTTTTTATTTGGTACAGTCACCGTCCTGAGTTTTATTCAGACACAGTCCGAATCCATAAGATGCTGTTTCTCCTAGAGGCGTCCTGGCTTCGGAGCTGAGCCTGGGCTCACCTTGCCTCACCTGGGTTTGCAGAGACTCACAGCCGTACCAGGTTGGAATCCTAGCCCTGCTGCCGAGCCCCTTGGCATAAGGGCCCCGTCCACCCTCTGCCATAGTTTTCTTATAGGGTTAACAGAGTCAGCGTCTCTAGCTCTTGAACTGCAAGCCCAGGGTTGCTGGTTGCTCACAGAGCGCTGGGACCTGGCAGGTCTGAGCCCACTGGGGTCCTGTCCAGCTCTGTGGGTGCTGGAAGACCAGTGGGCAGCTGAATGAGCCCTTTGAGATGAGGCTCTGAGCCCTGATGTTTGTGTACACAGGGCTTTTCAACAAATGGGTTTCTCTGCCCTGTAACTTTCCACAGCAAGAGTCTGATTCCCTATCATTTCAGAGCTAGAATTTCAAATGTGCTAAAGCCCAGAGGAGGTTCTCTGAGCAAAACCAAGAGGAAATGGTACTTCTCTTTCTTTCCTTGGTGGGCAGTGGTAGAAGTTCCATTTCAGCAGTGGTGTGCTCGGTTGACAGGGAAATGCCACTTAGAGCTCCGTCTCTTTGTCCTTGCTGAGTGTCCTATCAAGGTAAGCTGGCCCTTTTCGATACAACAGGTATTTGTCAGATGCCAGGAAGCCTGATTTCACAGGGGTGCCAAGTGTGAGAAGGCACCGTCCCTGTTCTTCAGCTAACGATATCAAAGATGAAGGAGGCAAGCCTGCACAAAGAAGGCACCGCAGATGGGCACTGGGCTGGGAGTGGAGGGGGCTCTGGAAAGCATGGAGTCCACGCTGGCGTCAGGTGGGCAGCAGAATGTGCCCTGGGTCGGCTGGTGGCAGAGAAGGAAGGACGAAGGCATCCTGGGAGGGAACTGGATGAAGAGTGACTTGGAGCCGGGACCATCTGGGACTCGTTGAGGGTGCCGTCAGTGGCTCAGCTGAGCCGGAGTGCAGGGCCCACACAGGGGGTAGTGGTTGAAGAGTCGGTGGGCTAGTTGGATGGCAGTTGGTGGCGCATGCCCTTGGCAAGTCACAGGGGGGCTGCCACAGGAGCCTCCATGGGGAGCCATTGAAGGTTTGGTCACGACTTAGGAGGGAGAGGTTCAAGGGAGAGTCTGAGTTAGTCACCTGTATTTGGAGGAGAGAGAACAAATGCTGGACAAGGGCAGATAAGAGTAGGCAGAATGTGCTGGAAGGCTGTAATCAGACCCTCCTCGGCTTTCTTCCTCCTGGCTAAATAATCCACATTCTGTGAGCTTCTTCTCTTTGGAACTCTGTCCCAATGTCCTAACCTCTTCCGTGGGTTCCCCTGGCATCTCCCTAGGTAGCCCCAGGTCTGTCCTTTCAGGGTTGGATGATTTCTGACACGTGGTGGGCCTGGATGAAGAGGCTCGGCCTGACGCCGTGGAGGGATGGCGTGGCCGAAGGTGCATCGCACTGACCCAGATTACAGGCCAGCCCAGGTGGAGGGTGTTAGGACACCTTAGCGCGTGTGGGCGTCACTGAGAGGGACGGTGGGTGGCTGACCCTCTCCTGCTCTTCTGCACACAGCCGTATCCAGCATGCTCCAAGGCCACAGCTCTGTGTTCCAGGCGCTGCTGGGGACTTTCTTCACATGGGGGCTCACGGCAGCTGGGGCAGCTCTCGTGTTCGTATTTTCTAGTGGACAGGTGAGTTGCTTTGCTTCGGTTCTGAGGTTTGGGGGCGGGGTGGGGGACTTTTAGCAAGCTGGAAAACCACAACTTTGGCCGGGTTGCAGACCGGTTTCGTGCCACTGGCCGCACCTCCAGGTTGTAGGGGATGTTTGTTCTCTGTCCTGTTTTCTTCTCCTGCTCTCCTTACCGGGCCAGGAGGGCAGGTGTCTGCAGCTACTCCCCTCCCGGTGTGAAGGGAGTAGGAAGGGTTATTAAGTTATTACGCCTCCTTTAGCCCCTGTGTGGTTTCTAGCTTCTGGCTGGTCTGCTTCAGGCCTGGTGCAGGTGCTCAGTGTGGTTGTGTAGCTGGCCCAGCTGGCGTGATGGCAGACCCTGGGCGGGGGGGCGGGGGGGGAGGAAGGGTATCTGTTCTCATTTATCCCATCTTTTCATTCCCTCCCTGATCCCCTTTGGGATGAATATACACAGACTCATCTCCCCACGCCCCTGCTGACTCCCTTCCCACGCCTCACCCCTGCACATCCTCTACCCTTCCCCCCAGCACCCTTACTCACCCTTGTGCCTGCATGCCTCACCCCCACATGCCCCATGTGCCCCTATATCCTGTCCCCCCACATTCTCCCTCCCGCATAGCCTACACACGGCTTCATACCCCACACATAGTCCTGTACGCCATCCGTCCACGCGCACACCCCAACCATCCATGCGCCCCCCACCCTGTGCGTCCCATATACCCTCCCGTAGCCCACACACATATGGCACAGTCCCCGCACGCCCCACTCCTCCCCCACAATACGCGCCACATTCCCCAGCCCACTCCTCCACAACCCCCACCCGCCTGAGAGTCCTTTCCTTTGTCCAGCCCTTGACCCCCTCCGGCCATAGGCCTCGAGCGATGGCTCCATCTATGTCTTGAGGAATACAAATTCCCTGCATCGTTCAGCAGGCAGCCTTAGAAATTGGAGCGGAGATAAGCGAGTAAGGGATTTAAGATCCATTTAAACATGCTGTGAGCTGGATCTGGAAATGAAAACACAGTCTAGAAAGTTGGCAAGCCAGGTGCTCTTGTGTTGGAGACTAGTAAGACAGGTATTTGATGTCACGTAAGATCCAACGTTCCCCCACCCCTCCGTGGGAGGTTTGGAGCCTATCAGAAACACAGAACTCAAGACGCACAGCCTGGATCCCGGCTTGCTGTTGAGAGGTAGTGAAAACTTTCGAAAGCCGGTCCCTGAATGAGAAACACCGAGGAGGCAGAGGAGAGGGCCGCCAGGTCACCTAACCCTCTTCCTCCTTCATGACAGTCCAGCCATGCCATCTTTGTGCCGTTCTTGGGCAGAGAGGCCCATGGTTTTATCTTCCCCAGTTATTTTGCAATGAGGCGAGGCCTGAGCCGCCCTGGGCTGGGCTGCCCTGTGGAGGGCGGGGGAAAAGGCAGCACCGCGGTGGGTGGGACCCCAGAGCCCCATGTGGCCCTGGCCAATGCTGTGGGGGCTCTTCGGGAGGGAAGAGGTGCCTTCCCTTCTTCACAGAGGTGCCTCCAGCCCCTTTGGAGCCTCAGAGCCCCTAATTTGTCTCATGTTAGTGTAACCACCAAGATCAGCAGGAGAAATAGCTGAAAACTTCTGTGTGCAAGGCATATTCCCCAAGACTACCACCACGTTTGGTGATTCACTAGAAGGATCCATGCCGCTCAGCTTATAGTTGTACTCACGGCTAAGATTTGACACTGGAAGGATCAGCAGGAGAAAGAGACAGGCGGAGTCTGGGGAGGTCTGGGCACAGGCTTCTGGTGCTCCCTCCCTCCTGTGAGGGCCACACTCTTGAGTTCTCCTTCCCCCAGAAACAAAAATACAGTAACACATGTGTGATGTGTCCACCCAGGGCACCCTTGAGAGCCTCAGCCTCTGACTATTCTACCTGGGGCTGGTCACGAAGGCGCTCTAGGCTGCTGAAATTTGAGACTTGAGGGAAGAAAGCCGGTGTCCCCTACCCGTCACCTTGTTCGGAAAACAGTGTAGGCACACTGACCCACCCTTACTGGCAAATGGAGGGAGCGGTTCAAGTCCCAAGTCCCCAGGAGCCAGCCAAGGACCAGCCTTGCAAGCAGGACCTTGCAAAGGGAGCAGGCTGGAGGTGGGGGTGGGGGGGCTACGTTAACCCTTTCTGCACAGGAAGTGGGCGTGAGGAGCAGGAAGGGGCTTGCTGTTGGGAGAAGGGTGGCCCAAGACAGGAGCCCCCAGAGATGTGCTCCGGCACCCTGAGCAGACCCCCGTTTTCATTCGGCTAAGGGGGGCGCTGCAGCGAGGATCCCTTGGGGTGGTAGACACACGGACTCTGCTCTCCACTGCTACTCTCCGAAGTGGCTTCACTCAAAATTTGTTTTCTTGCTTTACAATATATTTTAATTGTAGGAAGCTTGTAAAGAATGGAAAAGGTTAAAGAAATAAAAAGTTTCTTTTTAAATTTATTTTTATTTATTTACTTTTTATTAGTTTCTGGGGTAGAATTTAGTGTTCCTCAGTGGCTTAGAACTCCCAGGGCTCATTCCATCATGTGCCCTCCTTAATGTCCATCCCCTGGTTACCCCATCCCCCCCAGAACTCCCCTCCAGCAGCCCTCAGTTCATTCCCTATAGTTAAGAGTCTTTAGGTTTGCCTCCCTCTCAATTTTCATCTTATTTTATTTTTCCATCCCTTCCCCTATGTTCATGTTTTGTTTCTTAAATTCCACATATGAGTGAAATCATATAGTATTTGTCTTTCTCTGACTTACTTCGCTTAGCATAATACGCCCTAGTTCCGTCCATGTTGTTGCAAATGACAAGATTTCATTCTTTTTGATGGATGAGTAGTATTCCATAGTGTATACAACTATACACACACACACACACACGCACACACACACACCTCGCACCCCACATCTTCTTTATTTATTCATCTGTCAGTGGACATCTGGGCTCTTTCCATAGTTTGGCTATTGTGGACACTGCTGCTATAAACAATAAACAATAAAAAAAGTGTCTGATCCCACGTCTCAGAAAAAGAAACCTGAACCGATTTGTTCAGTTATATTTGAGTATACACAAATTTATGCCTATCTGTTTCTTTACATGATAGGGACCAAATTGTATGTAATGTTTTATCACCAGCTTCCTCACTTGAAACACAAGCATTCCTCCTACATCCCTAAATGGCTTTTTGATGACTTTGATTATTTCGATCACTTGGGTTACTTAACTGGCTGTGTCATATTCTGTCCTAAGGTTGCCCTATAGTTTAGCCATTCCTCAACTGTTGGACAATTAGGTTATGTCCTTTTTTCTTGATCTTTTTTTAGAAACACCTTTATGATGGACATAAACCTTTGAGCACATATCTGATTAATTCCTTGAAATAAATGTCTAACAGTGGAATCAAGGCTTTAGTGACATTTTAAAAAAGTACAATTTTTCTCCTTTCAAGATCCAGATGAATGCTGGTGGAATAATATTACCTGACTTCTTTATTAGATCTATTTGGTTTGATTAAATTATTTGGTTAGGCCAACTTTGCTTCTGTCATGGCATGCCTAGAGAAGAATGTCATTTGTGTGGCTGCCTGGAGTCAATCCCTTCCATCTACCCTGCAGCCACTCAGAGGAGGGAGAGGGCTGAGCCAGTGGTCCTAGCTACCCAGCATCACTGGGAGTCTCAAGGGTTGGGGCCATCAGCAACCCAGCATGCCTGTAACATGTCCATGTGGCTATAGATGATACCCCTAACGTAGACTATGAAGTTAAACAAATGTTTTTAAATTGAAATATAAAATGCATATAGAAAAGTGTATATTTTACATGATTTTTCATGGCTGCCTATGAAACTAGTACTCAGCTCAAGAACTAGGACAGTACCAGCCCCCCAGCAGCCTTTCAGGCTCCTTTCCAGTCCCTCCCCCCACCGCCCACCCCCCGACCTCCACTGCAAGGGCAGTCCCTCTCCTGGTCTCTGACAGCAGAGATTAGTTTTCTGTGTGTTTCTACATTATATAAATGGAGTAATCATATAGTATGTGCTCTTCTGTGTCTGGCTGATTCCACGCTGTTTATTTTCCAGTTTACCCTTGCCCCTGCCTGATTATGGGCTTCACTCATATATATATCATGTGTGCTCTCATTGCCATGTGGCATTCTGTTGTTTGAATACCTCCTAATTGATGTCTCCATTCTACTGTTGGTGGGCATTTGGGTAGCTTCTAGTTTTGGCTCTCCCAAGTACTGCTGCTGAGAGCTTTTTTGTGCCTGTGTTTGGTGAATCCAAGTATGCATTGCTGTTAGGTGATGATTTCACTGCTCAGGAGTGGCACTGCTGGGTCATAGGGGACACCTATGTTCACTGCTAGTGGATGCTGCCAGTTCATTTTTCCAAAGTGGCTGTGCCATTTTGTACCCCCAGCTGCAGCGTGGGAGAGTTTTGGTTGGCCCCCCTAGTCCCCATGAACACTTGTCAATTTCCATCTTTTAGGCCAGCTACTTAACTAAAGGTTTATAGTTATAATTCACAGGAGAGCCAGGTCGAAGGCAACATATGGGCCAGTGGAAGCCAGGCGTCCCTGAAAAAACACTCTGACAGGCTGTGGGATGGATGGAAGGTTCAAACAATTTTTTTTCCCTTGGTTCTTGGCCCATGTTATAAAGGCTCCGATCCAGGTCTGCAGACAGGTTGGCAAACTCAGACTCGGGCCAGTCTTTATTCATGTAGCTCTCTGAGGTCTTATGGTTTCCTTTTATCTCCAGAAACATCTCTTAGAATCTCAAACATCTTGTTTATATTTTCAGAGGCGGATCTTGGATGGAAGTCTTGGCTTTGCTGCAGGGGTAAGTAATGTGTGGTAGGAGCGATGTAAACAGAGATATGTTTATTCTGACATTTCTCTGCCAAGAGGGTATTTCTAGGCTCTCTCCATGCAACCTAGATGCATCTCTGTGGTCTCCAGGTCCCTTCTTATCTCTGCCCCTACTTATTGGCCAGCTTATTGAATGCCCCCAACTCTGAGACCAGAAGGGAGGCTTGCTTGTTGGGCAGCTGTCTCAGGACTTGTGAAATAAGATCGTATTTAGGAAGGGCCTCAGGTTCTCCTTGGTGCTAATTAAATATTCTTTCTTTCACCTTCCCCTGAAAAATCCTTTTGTTATTGACATCTCCAAACATGTAAAAAAAAAAAAAAATGGATAGAATCCCCTGTAGCCATCATTCAGCTTCAAGCATTACTGATTTGCTAATAGCATTTCTTCTGACTTCCCCCAACCTTCTTTTTTTTTTTAAAAGATTTCATTTATTTGACAGAGAGACATAGCGAGAGAGGGAACACAAGCAGGGGGAGTGGGAGAGGGAGAAGCAGGCTTCCCGCTCAGCGGGGAGCCCCATGCGGGGCTTGATCCCAGGACCCTGGGATCCTGACCTGAGCCAAAGGCAGATGCTTAATGACTGAGCCACCCAGGCGCCCCTTCCCCCAGCCTTCTTGAGAGGTTGGAATATTTCGTAAAAGCAAATCCAAGACATCATGTAATTTCACCTGTAAATTCAATCCACATCTCTAACTGAATGACTTTACTTTTTTTTTTTAACAACATAATCCTCTTATCACACTTACCCAAATTAGCAATTCCTTATTGTAACCTAACACCCAGTCCACGTTCATAATGATTCCCACCATTTTTTTTCCAAAGGGGTCATCGAAAATTGTTTTGTTAGAATCGGTATCCAAACAAGATTTTCACATTGATTTTTTTGTTATATCTTTTCAGGGTCTTTTATTCTTGAACAATCTCATTTTTTTTTTTTTTTTTTATTTCCACTGCAGTGATTCGTTGGAGAAACTGGGTCATTTATACCCATAGAGTATTCCATGTTGTGAATTCGGCTATTTGGCTAATGGCTTCCTTGGCGGGGGGGGGCTGTCTCCCTTGTTCCCCAGCCCCCCCCATCTCCTGTGAGCTGGGCATTAGACCCTGGGGTTTGGTGACTTCAGAGCCTGTTTTCCAGGCATGAATGTGCCCTGGTGATGCCGCGTGTTCCGAGTGTGTCTGTCCCACTGGAAGTTATGTAACATGTGGTCTTCTCTTTTGGTTAATCAGGATGTGCTTCCTTTATCCTGTTTGTACAGTCCTATGATCTGGGGTCTCCCGGAGGTCACCTAAGTCAGCAGCCATCAGACTGGGGTCTGTGGACCTTCCGGAGCACAGAGGTCTTCCGGGTGGCGCACAGGGGAACGTATAGTGTTCACAAAATCCATTTCCAGGTCCTCAGCATCTGCAGGCTCTCTTTCTTAAAACCACTCTGCCTGAGGATGCTCTGGCAGCCGGTTCCCCTTATACGTTTGCCCTCCCCTGCTTTCCAAAAGAAAGACACACTCTTCCCTTATTACCTTGTCTCTGGGTGGCAAAATCTCCACGTGTAAGGGGGACCCTTGGATGTTGTGCTGATGTGGAGAGAGTGAGGACTCTCATCACTGATCACTGGGCACAAATCCTCCAGTGGTGCAGATGCTGTCTGGTCCTTTGACTGTGGATCTAATCCAATTGTTAGCAGAGAGATCCTTAAAAGAAGTTTTCCATGATGGACCACTCTGGGATTTGGGGCCTGTAATTTGGATAAAATTCAGAGAACAAAAAGACAGTATTGTAAAAAGGATCTATTTTTTTCCCATCCTCTTCTTTATGTGAACACATCTTTTTGCTTACATTTAAAAAAGAAAAAGAAGAAAGAAAAGAAAAATAGAAATAAAATTGATTCCCAGCTCTCTCTGATTCTAGCGATGACCACTTAATATTTGTCCATGGATATATGAATGAATTGAAAAAACAAGGAAAAGGGCACATCCATGGAAATATGCATTTCCAAGAATATTTTACTTTTTAATGCTTAATAATTATAAAACTGTATTATATTTTTGTGGTTAGAGATCTATTCTCTGCCACTTATAGTTGTAATGGTAACTCAATCCAGGAAATTGTTACTTAAGCAGTTAGAGCCCTAGGCTTACATGGATTTTCCTAAAAATTAAATTATATTGCAAAGAAGTAGGGTAAAGAAATCAATAATAGGCTTTCTAGCATAAAATATAAGTTGCTTTGGGAGAAATTCTGTGGGGAAATGGAATTGAAACATAAGTCCAGGAGAAAAAGGAATGATGTAAGTTTTTGGACTTCTGAAGAAGGGCTTGCTTGTGCTTATTTGTGTGTTTAGAATATAGCCTGTGAACAGAAGAGTACGTAACACGTGAACATACAGTGTAGTTTATATATATTTTTCAGTGGGTAATGGTGGGAATCAAATCCCTCTGCCATTTAGATCCCAGCGGATACATTTAACTGACCGATGAAACAGTTTTATTTAAAGAAATCACTATAGGCCAGGAATTACATCTTTTGCAACTCTTTAAACTCAAGATGAAAATATTTTAAATGTCAATTTTAAAAGAAGTGAGGGGGTACCTAGTCTTTAAAAATTCTTATAGGGGTTACATAGACACAGAGTTTGAAGAACTCTGTTCTGTGCTGTTTTTCCGCTTTTGACTAGGCATTTGTGTCTCCTGTTCTAGTTTGTTCTTTTTTTATTGTTTTTTTAAGATTCTATTTATTTATTTGAGATAGAGCGAGAGAGAGAGAGAGAGAGCGAGAGCACAAGCAGGGGGAGCAGCAGGCAGAGGGAGAAGCAGACTCCCCACTGAGCAGGGAGCCTGATGCAGGACTTGATCCCAGGACCCCAGGATCATGACCTGAGCTGAAGGCAGATGCTTAATGACTGACCCACGCAGGTGTCCCTCTAGTTTGTTCTTTTAGGGCAAAAGCCACTGTAAGATTTACATAGCAAAAACCAAAAACCGACGTGAAACAAGAAAGGAAACAAGCAAAAGCAGAGGACAATAGTCTTCAGGGCATGTCAGAATGAATTTGGGAGCATGAAACATGAACATTTAAGATGAAATCATCAGGCCAGTGTATTGTGGTCATTTAAGTATGAGGCTCTAAAACAAAATAGTTTTACTTCTGATTTTTAATGTAGTTGGTTAAAAAAGATTCTAAAAATTATCTGTGTGTGCGCTGCTTCTTCTCCTTCTCCTTCTTCTTCTTAGCATTTTCTTTTCTGAAACTGACCTTGAGGTAGTTCCATAAGAGGAACCCCTGGAAGGTCAGCAGATACATGGAGAAAAGTAAAAACATGATGTGGGAGACAGTTGAGGCTCAAACGCAGGAAATTTCAGTGGGCTTGGTGACTAGTAGTGAGTTCTCATAAATGCTTCCCCAAACTAGGGAAAAGGCAGTAGAGCCCCAGGGGCCTGAGCTATAATAACTGCTTGTAGTAATCATGGAATAATTTATAGTGAATATGGCCATTCTGCTGGCTAGGACAGTAGTTCTCAACTGAGGGATGCTTTTACCCCCCAGGGGACATTTGGCATGTTTGGTTGTCAAAACTGATACCTAGTGGCTAAGGGCCAGGGATGCGCACCTAAACACCTTCTGGTGCCCAGGATGGCCCCCACCACAAAGAATTTTCCAGACTGACGTGTCGGTGGTGCCATGCCAAGAAATCCAGGTCTAGAGCATTTTGATGTGTCCTCTCTGGTCACAGAGTGGAATGTGTAAAAAGACAGATGTATTTAGGGGCGCCTGGGTGGCTCAGTCATTAAGCGTCTGCCTTTGGCTCAGGTCATGATCCCAGGGTCCTGGGATCGAGCCCCACATCAGGCTCCCCGCTCAGTGGGGAGCCTGCTTCTCCCTCTCCCCTGCCTGCCGCTCCCCCTGCTTCTGCTCTCTCTCTCTCTCAAATAAATAAAATCTTAAAAAAAAAAAAAAAGACAGATGTATTTAAAGTTAAAAGAAGAAGGAGAAGGAGGAGAAAATCATCCTGCCTCTCCCCTTGCTTCCCAGAGGTCACCACTGTTAGCCCTGAGCAGATCCTTAGAGAACTTTTATCATGCACATACAAAGTATCCGGATAAACATGCCCTACTGCTTGGTATCCTTCAACACAGCTTTTGTATTTATTCTTCACAGCTCTGAGACGCTTTGAATAAATATCTTGAAAAGGGAAAACTAGCGGGGCACCTGGGTGGCTCAGTCGGTGAAGCATCTACCTTCGGCTCAGGTCATGATCTCAGGGTCCTGGAATCAAGCCCTCCGTGGGGCTCCCTGCTAAGCTGGGGGTCTGCTTCTCCCTCTCCCTCTGCCCTTGTCCCCCCACTTGTGCATGTGCTCTCTGTCTCAATTAAATAAATAAAATCTTAAAAGAAAAAACGAAAAGGGAAAACTAGCCATCAGCCAGTTGACTGGGGTCCCACTGAACCCAGCACAGATGTAACATGTTTTCATGGGCAGCTGTGTATACATTTATGTGTGCGCGCGGCTTCTTCTCCTCCTTCTTCTTCTTAGCATTTTCTTTTCTGAAATACGTATCTGGTATAATGCGGCAGTAACACATCTCTACGATATATAATTGCGCACTGAGAAAGGAGATTCCTAAGACTAAGGACGTGGCATTTTAAATGTGCTTAGCGGGATATTTCACAGGTGGTTTTTTCTCATTAGCAGGGCCTTGGAAGCATTAATCACTTCTCCTTAAATGACTCCTCTTAGAATCCATTTGCCTTTTTTTCTTTTCCTCCTGACTCCTTAAATCACTCTTTAAGTCTTTAATAATCATTATCTTGTTCTTCTCAGTACCCATGTCTGCCCTTGATTTTTGCCTGAGGTGTGAACTTCATGGGGAGAAATGTTACCATTAAAAAAAAAAAGGCAGAAAATGCCTAATATTACAACATTAAAGCAGGAAAAGATTTTAGATGGTTATAATAGCTAATATTTATCAAGCC